TCTGCATTTCATTTAGGGCCAGTTGAAGCAGGTATTATTTGGAAAATCCATGACTGTGTTCTGAATGAATGCTGCACATTATATGCACTGCATACTGCCTGGTATTTTTTAAATAATTAATGGTTACACTTTATTTCGATAGTCCACTTTAGACATTCTATTAACTATACGTAACTTTGTAACTACATGTCAACTATATGTCAACTAATTCTCATTAATTTGCAACTAGATGTCTACTAACTCTCAGAGTAGACTGTTAGGGTAGGTTTAGGGTTAGTAGAATGTTGACAAAGAAAGTGTTAGAAGATATTAAGCAGACAGTCTACTAATACTCTACTAACTGCTAGTTGACATGTAGTTGCAAAGTTACTTACTGTTAATAGAATGTCTAAAGTGGACTATCGAAATAAAGTGTTACCAAAATGAACAAAATACTGTCATTCTACAATTCTCCTTTTCTATGCTGCGCGCAAGTTCAGGTAACTCAAAAACTTGCGTACACGAGCTGAGACCAGACGTGAGATTTGATCGTAGTCACCGCTCATGTCCATATTGATAAATTCCAAGTTTTGCGTTGAAACGACCGCACGCCCAATTTTCTGCCGTACGTTAGTTTTGTAAATGAGGCCCACTGTGACAGAAGATTGGACCAAAACAGAAGATTTAGTGGCTTTTTTCTTTCTTTCATTTTGTTTTTAACCCTATAGACAGGCTTTTTAACACGCTTGATCCATTCAGATTTGACTTAGAATTTTGTGTTATACAATTTTGTGTTATACATAAAATGTTGCTGTTATATTAAATATTAGGGAATATAAATCAATTTCATAGAGTTTGTTTTCCTAATTTCTGCATTAGTTTTAATTTTGTTAACGAAAACTATGACGAAAAATATTTGTTGACAAGCTTTTTCCCGTGACTAAAACGAGACGATGTCAATAAGGTCAGTAAACGAACTATGACAATATCAACATGCAATATTATTGACGACAAAAGATGAGACTAAAATGTATTTTTAAATATAAAAATATACAGTATAACTATACCAAAAATATCTTTTTATTTTTGTCGAAAAAAATAAATAAAAATGAGACAAAATATTATTTCGGACTGCTGTACCAAAGCCACGGGAAGACAAGTCTGCAACCTGCAACACAAAAAAGTGTAACGGCTAAAGTTAATGCTGTGGCCATATATATGTATTGGCCGTATGGAGGGAAAGAGACGAGAGGCCACTTTATGACTGGCTGAGGTGCCTCACGTGATCCAAGCTAGCCGTTACGTTTTTTCCAATGGTAATTAATACAGACCCTCTCATCTCCCAATTATAAGACATCACTGTTAAATATTTGTTTTTACCAGTTTTCATAATGTAGAGAGAGTGCATATCTAAGTATTTGATATGAATTTATATAACAAATAGCCAATAATAAATCAGTGCACATCATTTTTTGCTTGGTTGGAACAGCAGCTACGCTAATTTTTCTCCATTTGCTTCTCTGTTTCTGCCACGGGATGGTAACTAACTAGGTATGGTAACTAGAGGTAACTAGGAATTACACAAGCTTCAGTCTGGATCCAGCCCTTACAAAGATCTGAGATGACCGAACACCTGAGAAGAGATGATGCCAACCCTGAACTAACATACAAATCTACCAAATTTTGCTACAAGTTTGCTTGCAACATAATTATTGCCATTAATAGTATTCACTGTTTGATTAGATATATGTCATTAACTAACTGCATGATTTTTACTGTACATTTCTGCCATATGGATATCAACTTGACATTACTACTGATAAGCTACTTTTTGTTTGATTTTCTGTGAAGCTGCTTTGCAGATTTGCAGTGTGAAAAGCACTATACAAATAAACATGAATTGAATTGAGCTAGATAAGGTAAAATAAACTATGTGTATGAGTCCGCATGATTTGTGCTTAATGGTGAAAGTGCAATACTTGAAATGTAAACAAATTTCTCAGCAATCATTGCAATTATAATTTTGAGCAAATAATTTAGTTTTTGAAGCTGCTGCCACCGATCTGGACGAGCGCACAGTTACTGTAACTTCATATGTCAGTTTCTGTGAGGATATGTGCATTCCTACAAGGGCACTGCTGTCATTCAATAATGATAACCCACGGTTTATTGGGAAACTCAAACAGCTTCGTCATTGCCAAAGAGGATGATTAAAAACGTGGGAAATCTTGTACAACCGGGCCAGAAACTGAGTAACAAAGGAGATCAGAGTGACTAAAACAACTACTCTGAAAAGTTGAAAAACCAGTTTTCAGCCAACGACCCGGTGTCAGTATGAACTGGTCTGAAGAACATCATCTACAAGACACCACACCCACAAACACTTATTCTGTCTTTTTACAAAGCATTCTGTTGCAGCTCAATAACATGAGCAAAAATCAGCAGCCTACAGAACACTTAGGCCTACAAGAGGAACTTTTGCCTATGCTTTAAACAAAAATACCACAGCAAAAATTTGACTAATATAAATTTCAAATATTACAGAGTAAAAGACAAGTAAACAGTCAGTAATAAAATAGGGACAAGCAAATCAATTAGCAATAGCATAAATAAATACAACTGAACTAAATTTAAGGTACAGAAACTGTAATTAAAAGTTTAAAAACACTGCATAGCTTTCATAAATAAAATATAGACTATTAATTAAAGTTATTAAAGATATTCAGTCAAGATCAGTGAATGATTTTCTTTTGTTCTTTGATTAACATTAATGACAGGCAGCGCGTTTATAGGCTGCTGTCTCTTTATCACAGAACGCACGCAGATCTAAAATACTGTACACAAGCATTTCTTTCCCATCCGTTTACGTTCACTTAAGACAAAAACGGCTGTGTTTGTGATGATAAAAACTACTTTACCTCAGTTCTCTTTGACAGTCCTCTTCATGCAATCCAGATTTGTGTCCACTGTCAGGTTTTTTCTTTCTTTTTGGGATTTTCTGGCGACAAGACAGGGCAGAACACGCCGTTTTCTAGCCATTGTTTGTTTACGCTCATGTCTCCGCCTGTCTAGTCCCGCGCTATCCATGACAAGCACACACGTCGTTAAAGACGACAAGCGATGAATGATCGGGTAGAACCGTGAAGTCTGACATGTCTCTTGTTCATGACACGACAAGATTTTAGAAGTCAAAATCGTGTAATCTGACACAGTGACTGTCGTAACCGACAAAAAAATCATGTTGTCTGAACCGGGCTTAAAGGGTTAGTTCACCCAAAAATGAAAATTAGGCTGTGTTTTACTCAACCCAGAGCCATCCTAGGTGTATATGACTTTCTTCTTTCAGACGAATCCAGTCGGAGTTATATTAAAAATTGTCCTGGCTATTCCAAGCTCTATCATTGCAGTCAGCAAGTGTTGCAGTGCTTCAGTCCAAAAGAAGTGAAATAAAAAGCGCCCATCCATAAAAAAGTGTCTCACACGGCTCCAGGGGATGAACAAAGGCCTCCTGTAGCGAATCCATGCGTTTTTGTATGAAAAATATCCATATTCAAAATTTAATAATCACTTTAATCTAGCCTGCGCTCACTGTTGTACACAGAAGCAGCTCCGGGCGGATGACGTATGAGATCTGCTTTTGCGCAAAAAAAAGCAGAGTCACATTTAAACTGCTTTGACCGTTCTCTGCAGATCAGACACTCTCGCACGCTATGATTGGTTGATTTTATACAATGCCTGCACACTATTGGTCAAACTACTTTTCAGTCATTACCTTCAGCGAGTATGAAAGCAATAGGAAAACAAAGCCAAAGCCTGGACATTTTAGGTAATTTAGAGATTCCGGCTAGGACATGTCTGTGAAAAAGATCTGGCTCCAAATTATGCCGGCGTCAACAAACACACAATCAAACAGATTCATTAATCTCACACACAGACACACACAGACACACACACAAACACACACACACACACACACACACACCTCAGGCAGCATGCTGTGTAGGGTGTCATTCATTGTGTATGTGCTTATAGTGCTCGTCTCATACGGGATGGTCTGATTGACGGCTGTGTTGCGTTTGGTGAGGAATAACGATCGCGTGGCATTACAGCAAAACTGCAGCTTCATTCTGCCAAAAACACACAGAGAGAAAGAAACAGAGTTAATTTTACATGAGCAATCAGAAGCTCTATAAGTGTCATCAGTGTTAAAATGACTGATCTCAGCATTCAAAGATATCTTAAAAGCTTAAACACAGTGACAGCAGATGTCTAGTTTGCAGTTTGCTTAGCTTCTGACTGTTAAAGGAGAGCAAGTGTTAAAATGAAAGGTTATTTCATGTGTTTTTGCTCAATGTTAATATAGGGGGAGATCTGTTAATATTAAACGTTGTATTTTGGAATTTAAACGGGTTTCTGGTATGTCTTTTAGTTTTTGGGGTTACTGTTGTGCTGACAATTGGCCGAAAACCATTAAAGGGATAGTTCACCCAAAAATGAAAATGTGATGTTTATCTGCTTACCCCCAGGGCATCCAAGATGTAGGTGACTTTGTTTCTTCAGTAGAACACAAACGGAGATTTTTAACTTTAACCGTTGCAGTCTATCAGTCGTATAATGCATGGCAATGGTAACAAATACGTTACTTTAATTAAAAAGTAATGACAGTGACTCTTCAGTATCGTCTCTCTGCTAAATACTTCAGTACATGCAGGGTGTGCCTGACTAGCTATATATGAAATATGTAATGTAAATAATTATAAAATGTAGGAAGTATATTATATATGTGTGTATATACTGCATGAGTAAATATATGTTCAATATTTTAACACACGCAGTAGCATATCTTATCACATGTACATCTATGTGTTAAGAAGTGTATTACTGGATATAATGTGTGTTATAAGTAAATATATTCTCACATGTTTTTCAATACATGGCAAGCAGCAATTCCTTATGTGTTATTCAATATACTGTAATATATTAAGTTAATACAGTTAAATCATCTAATATATTGATCATGCATATATGATGGAATATATTTTCTTTGCATAAGGGAATCAATTGATTATAAATATATGGAAAAATGTTTTTGTTCCGTAAGGGTAAACAATAATGACATTATGTTTTTTGGAAAATATTCAAAGTCAACTTAAAATTGTGTTTGCGACCCTTGTACTAATAGTAATTGTAAACATTTAAATTTTTGTTTTACCCTTTTTAAAATACAGGTTTTAAAAGTGGGTTTCCACAGTAATACCATAGAAGAACCATTTTTTGGTTCCCTAAAGAACCTTTCAGTGAATACGCCTTAAAATAACCACTTTTTTCTGGGTGTAAAGACTATTTTCACTATAAAAACCATTCTGTGCAATGGAAATATTCCTTTTTCAAGTAACCATCAATACTAATAAAAAACCTTTATTTTTAAGAGTGATGAAGGGATTTTTGTGCATGATTATGAATCTAACAAAGTTGTGCATCCAGGTACAAAATCTGACATAAATACTGAATCTGCATCACTGACATTTCAGAAGATTTCAGAACAAACCCTATCTGAGAAAATCAGATGACATCTTTCTTCTAAACGGTCTTAAAATGTCAAGGGAATTCGCATATGAGATGATCTCTTTAAATGTGACGTTTCACATGAAAGTGTTTCTCAATAACTTCAACTCCACAACTTGAAGATATCAAAGGAATGTGCATCAGCAAGCTGTTCCTGTCTACTTACCTCCACACAATCGCTCGTCAACACGTCAATGCATCAATTCAATCAATTTGGACAAAAGCATCTGCCAAAGGCTAAAAAAGAGGCACGAACCTGTTCAGCTCGCGCTCGGTTGTGTTTGATTTGTACGGGCAGCTCATGAAATCTGACAGCTCCTGCGTGAAGCTCTCCAGGTTTAAACTGAGAAGGAAACAAATGCATTTAAGTTATCAGTGCTTGATAACTTGATCTTGCTTGATCTGGATTCTCACGCACCTTTTGGCCGGTTTAATAATAGAAAACTTGTGTCTGAGTTTAGCGCAGCGCAGCAGCTGAAGCGTGTCCGTCATCCCATCTCTGAAAGAAAACACAGTTTATTACTGCTGCTCATTAATCCTATACAATAGTTGATACACATTTCTAAGGCTCTAAATGATCGACATGATTTAGCTGTTAAACCTTTTTATGTCAGTATGTGCTGTACTGTTATAAAGATGTGATTGATTTACATCACAAGCATCAGAATCTCATCATACACAGTGGTGGCCAAAATGATTAAACACTAGTATTTCCAGCAGCTAGAAAATGGTTTTAAGTCAGTTATTTCTATCTTTTGCTGTAGTGTGTCAGTAGGAAATATCAGTTTGCATTTCCAAACATTCACTGTAATAATCCAGTGAGAGTTTTGTCTGACAGCAACCAGTGCTCCAGCTTTGCAGGTTGGTTTCTTGAAGCATCTTGGAGACAAAATCATCTTCCAGCTTTATATATAAAGTTGGTATATAGTCCTACTGGAAGTATGTCCAACTTTATCCACATACGCTCAAGTAAACCGATATACACCCAACTAACAAAAAGAACGTTATGAATGTCAAATAAACTGGACTTAACCTGCACATTTTACAGAATTATTTGTACAGAAACACAACAAGCGGTTTAAACTTAATTTCACTGCAGTAAACTGAAGGACTCCAGAAATGAAGCAGAGCTCTAGAGAACGAAACGAACGCGAACAAACTTTACGATGCGCTGCTGAACAATCTGATCTCTGACGCTCCAGCCCTGGACAAATCAATCTGTTACATCTAAATCTAAAACATTTCTGTCCTGATTAAAACTACAATGACGTTTCGACCATTTAAACAACAATTTCTTAGACTCCACTGAAAACAATTTAACAACCCCCTGACAGCAAACACAGTGTTGCTAGTAGTAATGTAGGCTATTCAGCAATTAAGAGAACAGTCAATTATCAGCTCACTTAATAAGCCTTAGAAACTATGAAATAGATATGAATCTTAGACTTTATAACAGACTTTAAAAAAAAAACAGCAACAGTGAGTCTCATTTGAATTGGCAATAATTACAAAGAAATATTTAAATATGACAATGTTCACCTGGATGAGTGTGTGCCAGGTGTGTAATAAAACATCACAAACACACCCTGAAAGACGATCAGGACCATCAGGATTCTGAAGATCCACCGGAGAAACGCCAATGCCATCAGAGAAACAAATGAACGAGTGTGAGTGTGTGTGTGTGTGTGTGTGAGAGAGAGAGAGGGTTTTAAGATGACACACACACACACACACACAGATACCTGCATTACCCCACCCCTCACAAAACCTGCTGACTTACCCTGTAAACCAGGTCACATGTTAAATACCTTGTAATTTGTGTTGTGCAATTTTGTCAGTGAAAAGAGCCAGGCTAGTGGAAAGTGGTGGTGGTGGTGGTGGTGGTGGTGAGAATTTTATATTTAATTATAACGTTTAAATACTTCATTTTGGTGAGCTTTTTGGTGAGTCCAAGTCCAAGTCCAAAAGGGCCGAGATCGAGTCCAATGAAACTTTCTCAGTATCTTAACCTTGTTTTAACCTTTACAACTAGAAAAAGGCAATGTCAATTTAAATGTAACAAACCTTATCAACAATTTTGTATTCAGAGATATTTGGTATGATTGAGTTACTAGTCAGGAAAAAGTCGATGCGGGAGTAGCTATGATGAACCGGCGAGTAAAATGTATATTCTCTGTTAGTTGGATGCTGTAGCCTCCAACCACCGCCGAGGCCACGATTTTGTACGTTTTCTATGAGAGGTAGGTTTAGGGGTGGTCATTTGTACGAATTCCTACGAATTTGCCACCTCATACGTATACGATTTTTCACAAAACATAGGTGCGAATTCGTACGAACGAGGTCGTACGATTTTGTACGTTTTCTATGAGGGGTAGGTTTAGGGGTGGTCATTTGTACGATTTCCTATGAATTTGCCACCTCATACGTATGCGATTTTTCACAAAACATAGGTGCGAATTCGTACGGACGAGGTCGTACGATTTTCTACGTTTTCTATGAGGGGTAGGTTTAGGGGTGGTCATTCGTACGAATTCCTATGAATTTGCCACCTCATACGTATACGATTTTTCACAAAACATAGGTACGAATTCGTACGAAGAGGTTGTACGATTTTGTACATTTTCTATGAGGGGTAGGTTTAGGGGTGGGCATTTCTACGAATTCCTACGAATTT